CAGAAACGACTCACCTTTGGATAATTGTGGATTATTTCGATGCCTTTCTCGTAGACATACTCCTTGCCCTCCTCCACAGGACAGGTCACGCCTGCAAACACTTCCTTGACGACTTGTTCGAGATAGCACAATATTTATCGCATAACTTAAATAATAAACTACATAAACGAAAAAGGTAAAAAAATTTAGGGGTAAGTAGGAGGGGTGCCTCTGTCATACAATGACACTATACATACATCGACCAAGAATCGAATCCTGGATCAATTCCAGTGAATAAAACTTCTCATGCTTCAGAGGCAGATTCAACAGAGCTAGAAGGTTTCAGAAAAATAAGGGTGTCAGTTGTAACGCGGCTTAACCCGAAATAACATATTTAAATGCTGTCACTACTCTGAATACACAAGGTGTGTCCCAGAACTGGATTCATTTATGCTAAAAGTTGCAATTCTTTACTCTTTATGACCTCACAGCCATATGGTCCCGTCCCCGCTCAAACACGATTGTAATGAGCACATTTGGACTTAGCAAGTCAAGAAAGTACTGCCCGAACATACATACGTCAAGACATGAGGCAACTAACAAGTAAAGGCAAGGCAGTACATAGCCCGTGCTCTGGTTAAGCTATAGCACTACCTTCATATGTTCCAGTAAGCACTCGGACAACATCAAATTACCTACCGTATTTGCAGGCATCAGCGTCGGCCATTGGGAATTCCAAAAACGTCTGACCAATTTTTGCTTTGATATGAGTTTTCAAGCTTGACACCGTTTCATCTAAAAAACGTTGAAGTACAAGAAAAGGAGCTACCATGGTTTCTCAAAATCTGAACTTACCTGGGATGAACTTAATTCGAATCCTCGGAGTAGTGCCCTCCTTAAATTCACAGAGTTTTCTACCAGTTGGTGTATCCTTCAAATGACATCCAGACGCTTGTACGTCAAGAACTTTGAATTTCGATTCTGACAAGAACATTTGAAACAGTACTAAATCACGGGACTTAACTGAGTCATATGGACTTACTGCAATCCTTGAAGCCGATTTTTTGAAAATCCTCAGCAAACACTTGAAGTGTCAAAATAAACAACGCAAGTAAATGAACGAAAATCCTCATCTAAAAATGATTCCATTACAAGAAGCGCTCGAAAAAAGAATGGGTCGGAAAGAAAGACTCACGGCTGGACAGCACGAGAGACTGGTGTTCAATTGATCAGATCCAACCCATTCAGTCGATGCCCTCGAGAACAGCTGTGCCCTAGACGCAACCAATCATGCTGACCCA